CAGCAGGACTCCCTTCACCTGCAGATGTCTTCCCATGTAGACACTGCAGATCATAGCCTTTGTCAACATGGCTTTCCATGTTTGCAAGAAGTAATGTTCATATATTAAGGAGAAAGAGTTTGATTTCTTTTTAAGCTGAAGAGTTTAGCTTGAGTGCTTAAAAACAAAAACAAACAAATAAAAAATCCCCCCCAAACTCCTCTTGATTAATTCAATAGTTTCTAAGAGTGTATCCTAAAATTCTCCCAAAATTCAACATAGGCTAGGTACAGACATTGCACATAAACTGGTATAAGTGGTCAGAAACCAGACTAAACCTGTAACAGAACAGAAATCATCAGATTAGTTTAAAAAAGGCAGAACCCAGTCTAAGATAGACCTAGATAGATGTAGTATTAGACTTAATCAGTTTGCGTTGCAGTAGTTTATTGAACTTCTGTCCCAGATCCCATAGCAAATCACCTTAGTTCGCTGTCCTCTGGCATCCCAGGTGCCCCTCACAGGGCAATGTGCTAGCCTTGGCTGGAGCTCATCTACTCCAAGCTGTCACAGATAGGATCCAGAGAAGCCTCCGTCTCCTGCTTGTGAGGCTGAACAGATTGTGGGGGACACACACTGGCCAATCAGAGGTGGCTGGCTGCAGAATTCTCTGGCACCCTGTTGTGAGCACCTCCCATTTGCTGGTCTTGGCCAGTGGCAGGCCACCTCTGTGTCCTGCACCCACCTCCCTCTCCCTCCCCAAAGAGCAAACATGAGTTCTGTTTGTTCATGAGTACTGCGTGCAATTCTGGGCACCGCACTTGAAGAGGGATGCGGATAACCTGGAGAGGGTCCAGAGAAGGGCCACTCGTATGATTAAGGGCTTGCAGACCAAGCCCTATGAAGAGAGACTGGGGCACCTGGACCTCTTCAGCCTCCGCAAGAGAAGGTTGAGAGGTGACCTTGTGGCTGCCTATAAGTTCATCACGGGGGCACAGAAGGGAATTGGTGAGGTTTTATTCACCAAGGTGCCCCTAGGGGTTACAAGAAATAATGGCCACAAGCTAGCAGAGAGCAGATTTAGACTGGACATTAGGAAGAACTTCTTAACAGTTAGAGTGGCCAAGGTCTGGAACCGGCTCCCAAGGGAGGGGGTGCTCTCCCCTACCCTGGGGGTCTTCAAGAGGAGGTTGGATATGCATCTAGCTGGGGTCATCTAGACCCAGCTCTCTTTCCTGCCTATGCAGGGGGTCGGACTCGATGATCTATTGAGGTCCCTTCCAACCCTAACATCTATGAATCTATGAACTAATTTAGGGCACTTAAACAAAGCTGCAAAAGTTAGTGCAAATTTGCCTAGCCTTACAGGTGAGACCAAAAAAGCCCAACAACTTGTACTAGGTGAAATTTGAGAGGGTTGTGAATAATGTAGCACAAGGAACTATAATAAAAGTGCAGCTGCAACCTCAACTGCAGCATCTATTAGTTACAGCAGGGCATGCACGTGCGGAGATCTCAAATTTGAAGCCACTGTAAAGGGATGCAATCAGTAGCCTTTGCTTCTCAACAATGTTACCAAACAGAGATTCCCTGCAATGTTGTACTCTTGTCAATCCAGCCTTTCTGGCAGAGGTGGCTCATCCCACCAAGAAATATCCATCCAGCTACTTTGACTTAGGAAATGAAGGCTTCACACAAAAAATGGAGTTGGTGACTTTGGAAAGAAAGAGAAGGCACTCTGGGCACCTATACACATGCCCAACACCTCTCCAACGTGTGCTAATTAGCGCATGTTGAAGCAGACTTGATTAACTGAGTCTGCTTCAGCAGCCTTTGCATCATATATATTCAGCCTCCCTGGGTTTCAAAATGGCAGCAGGGGCACTTTAATTAAAGCTCATTGAGTTCTAGTTAAAGCGTCCCCATTGCCATTTTGAAACACAGGACACTGAATACAGAAGACACTGCGGGCACTTTAATTAGAGCAGTTTCCAAGAGCCAATTTAATTAAAGTGCACCCCCCCCCAGCATGTGTAAAGATGCCCTCTAGTGTCCACTTACCCTTTTATCTCTCTGCCTGTTATTTTCATCTTTGGACATTCAGGCGTTGCCTACTATTTTGGCTTAACAGATGCAGAAGCGCAGCTCTCTCTCTCATTGACATGCTGAGAGAAATAATCCTCCTGCTCTTTCCAGAGGATGTGAGAAGCAGTGCCTAGCTTTTATATGCTCATTTGGAGATTTATAGCTGGTTCATAAAGGTGAGGTCAGCTTTGCAGTATAAAGTCACTATTCCAGAAGTCACTTTAAAATGTACCTTTTTTCCCCAGTTTACAGAAACATAACATTTGCAGCCTTGCGTACAGAACAGGAACAAGCTGCAAATCACTAGAGTTAAAAAAGTATCACATTTCCATTCCATAGTTATATTACAAATGATAATTCTGGCTAGGGAAAACACAGATTACATCTCTTGTCTCTGAGGTGCTGGTTACCAAGGCAGAGAAAATGTTTCTGCCAACAGTGCAGTTCCAAAATATAAATGTTTGCCTACAAAAGCAGAAGACAAAAGCTAAGTCATAGAATGGTATGTGCATACCTGATATCACAAATAAACTCTGTTTCCTACATGTGTGCTCTGGGTTCCCCTTTCTGGGAAGGCTGGGCTACATTTTATTCTAGCATCTTGTGTGGAAAGGAGGATAACTTTCCAAGAAGGGAGGTATTTTAGTTTCAAAGTAAATTTTAGGAAAACTCAAAATGTGATGCTTCCAATCAGCATATGTTTAAACATTATAAGATCTTGTTTGTGGAATATATTCATTCTTGCATACTTGAGGATATTTCCATGGTACATTATACAACAATAATTGCTATGGAAGTAAAGGATTTCAGTAAAACTTTTTGGATTAGAATTCCACCTGCTGGGTGTCTCAGTGGAAATTAAGGGTGTTTTAACATGTGCTCTGAAGGGCGGGGGGGAGGGGAGGTTCTTTAATTAGAATGGCTACAAGACAGCTTTAATTAAAGCACTCGCATTGTCTCACTTATCAGTATCCCTGTGATTCTAAATGGCAGCGGGGGCACTTTAACTAAAACACCCCATCACCATTTTCAAGCATGGGGATGCTGATACACAAGATGTGGAGGCTGCTAGAAGTGCGCTAATTAGCATGCCCCAGCAGACTTGATTAATCAAGTTTGCTCTAATGTACATTATTCACAAGCCAGTAATTACAGCATGTCAGAGAAGCCTCTCCACACTTTTACAGGCACCGTCGGCACCTGAGAGTGATTCTATTCTATTAGGTTCAAGTCCCTGAAAATCCATTGATGTATCTAGTTTTATGATAGTCTTAAGGGAGGGATAAGAGTGTGAGTCAAAACAGCAGCAAGGGGAAGAATGACCCAGCTATCTTTTGCATTAACTTTTGGTTCAGTTCATCTCTATTTTGTTGATTTTCTTCTAGCTCCACAGTACTATTGTTACACGCTGCTGTATAGCTAGAAGCCAATCAACTTCATCTAGTTCTACAAATCATACCTTGTTTATGCTGGAGGAGGAACCCCGCTTTTCAGAGGTTCTCATTTTCATTTGGCTCTTTCC